CATCGTGTAAAAATAATGCTTGTTGAATTAGCAAATGTTTAAAATTTTTTCCCAAAATAAGTTTAAATTAGCCATAAAAAAAAGATATGATGTCATTAATATTCCAAAAGAAACTATTATGTAAATTGAAGAGTTAAAAGCATTTAGAGGATAAAATAAATGCAATCAAGTTGGTTAAGAGCCAAAATCGATCCCTTTGGTTAAATCTCTTTAAAAAATCGATTAATGAAATTTTTAACTAATTTAAGTAACTAAACCGATTGTTTACCCCAAAAAATACTTACATATTCTTTTTTGAAATATTTATTTATCTTTATTTTTTTGACTTAAGGATTGGATTTAAATTTATCTGGTCCTTAACACTTTTCGGTTTGCAAATACATAAAAAGTAAGTTAAAAATGAGTAAATGGAACAAGTTTTTATTAAAATTGGAAATATTATTACGTAATGTTTAACAGATAGGGTTGAAAATTGCACATAAATATATGATTCAATAATAAATGTATGTAATTGTTTTTATTTAAAAATAAAATTAGAATATTCTCTTGCTCAAATCAAAAGATAAAATTGAAAATGAGCGAATGAGGCCCATTCGATGCTAAACTGCTAAGGCCCAAACGAGTATTTCTTCAAACAAGAACTTAAGGATCTTGAGCCCAAACTCACACCTCATGATGGGTTCAAATTCAAGTAGGTGATCCTCTTACTCTTACTTTTCCAAATGTAACCATTTCCACCTTTTTTTGGCACATTAAGTTTCCATATTATTATTATTATTATTATTTTGATATATATATATATATATATGCAAGGCTAAATTACACAATTTAGAATTTAATCAGACTCATGATAAATAACTTCAAATTTATTTCAGCTGAAAGTAAATTTTATGAGTCTGTAACAACTCCAAGATATTGGGTTATTAATATTTTTAAGGAAATTGACAACTTTTAGAGATCTAATTCCAATATAACTTTCTAATACTCATTTTGTCCCCAAATGAATCTGAAAACCTACAAAATGTTAATAAAAAGAGTCAACATTAATGGTTGAGGAGGCTACTAACCACCCCTGGCTGGATCAAGTACGAAACAAAACATTTTGTTTCCAATAAACCAATAATTAAAGACATCATCATTTCATAAGTTGAAATTGTGAATTTGACTAAATAAAAAATATACTATCAAAGTCAACAATTTAATAATTCGATTGCATCAACATTAGATGTTCAATTTCGATATTTAATTCTCAATTAAAATGATTATGATCACGATTAATCTCGTAACAGAACAAACAAAAACCGGAAAGAATACTAATTTCTATACCAATTCTTAATCCCATTGGCTGATGGTCCAAATCGCAGTGGATCGACACAACAATTCCCCATATATCATACTTTTTGCAACAATTGTGAATATATTTTACTATACATATATTTATTTCTTTATTTCTCTCTCTCTTTAGTTCAGAGTTAGTCTAAACTTTATCTTCCTTTCTTTTTCTCTTAAATTTTCATATTTCTTATACTGAAGCTAGGCCACTTTTATATAGTTGTAATCTCTATAAACATTTATTCTAGCTTAAAAGGGGTCGTCAACTGTCAGTAATAAACAATTGAGTCATTTATTGGAGATATATAAAATAAAAATAAAAAATCAACAAAATGGTTTAAATGATGTGGGGTAGAATTAAAATCCATGAAATTGAAAACCTGGGGTGTTAAATTGATGATTGATATATATATATATATATATATATATATATATATATATATATATATATATAGCCATGTTATTTGATTGATGTGGCAAGTTGTAGAATATTTGATTTATTGGTTAATAATGAACCCAAAACCATGTAGAAATTTTATTGGTTTTAACTCTTGCACTAATAATTAATTCCATTAGTTATGCTTCGTTTTCAGGTGGGAGTAAGTGGGTCAATCTTGCTGATGGGTTCACATAGAACTTTTGAGGCCTTGAGTTTGTATCTTGTCCAAGGTACTCCGCCTTTAATATCTGATCTTGTTATGCCTCGCCGACATACCCTTCCTCACTGTTTTGCTTTCTGGGTTTTTGCTGATGTTGGAATTAGATAACAACAGTTGCAGTGGGATTTTAAACACCATCATGTTGTGGTTCCAGCAGGGTTCTGAGGATCAATAATCATTAATCACTGGATATGCATTCTGCTTTTAGATATGCAGCCTTGAACCATGAAATATCTATATACATACATATATATATATATATATATATATATGTTTGCCTATTCTAAGTGGTCCATGACAACTATTGTATTCAAATAAATGTCATTCAATCTTATTGGTTCCTTCACAACATACCTGAGCCAACCTGTGCCTTGATTTATTACATAACAGCTATTACAAATAATTTTGCTTAATGTTCATCTTTTAAGAACAACCTCTCCTTCCCCTTCCCCCTCCCCTTTCCCTCTTTCCCCTACATTTATGGCTTCGTCACATCATCCATGATGGTAAAACAAAAATTGTGTTGTAAATTATATATTTCATAAATAATTTAATGAGGTATATATATATATAATAACGATTCTCAATGATAAAAGAAAATTTCAATTATAAGTATGGTAACCATATCGTAATCTAACAAAATTACATTGATTTAACTTATAATTTATACAATTGATGTAATTATATTTGATTATAGTAACATTCTCTCAAACTCAAAGTGGTATGATAGATACTAATTTGAATTTGGAAACTAAATCTTGAAACTAGCTAGTGACTGAACGACGATTTTCAATGACAATACATCAAAATTTGCGTTCAATCATAATACTTTTCATATCTTAAATCCTTATATTGTAATTGTTTCTTGTCAAAATGGTTGTAATTAGTTTAAAAACTTTAAAGTTCTCCATCTTACAATTAGATTTAACAAAAACAGAGGTCAAAATCGTAATTAGAATGTCAAAATTAGTAGAATTAGTGATTTTGTAGGAGTGCAAATACGATGGGATGATGAGTTTTAGTTAATGTGATAAGTTAACATGGTAAAATAGGTGACAGGATAACATGATAGAACACATGATAAATAGATAATGTGACAGAACACGTGACAGACAGTTGACTTACAAATGATATAACAGGTCACTTGACAAACAATTGATTAGTAGATGATATGACATAATATATAACAGACAAATGACGCAACAGAACACGTGGTAGATAGTTGACTTGTAGATAACGTGATAGGTAACTTGGTAAACATTTAATTGATAAATAATATGACAGAACATACGATAGTTATTTTGAATAGCATATGATGTGCTCGAACAAGTGATAGGTAGATGACATGACCAAAGACGCTATAAATGACGTAATAGAATATGTAACAAAACATGATAAAACACATGATAGATAAATGACTTGACAGAACAAGTAACAAACAGTTGATTGAAAAATGACAGTAACAAACAAATATATCAATCCATAGAGTAAACGGTATGGAGATAAGGTGTTAGAGAATAAAATGTAAATGGATGGCTCTTGATACCATAGTAATAAAAGAAAAATTTTATATTTTGAATTGTGTCCTTTACAAAGAAACTAATGAAGAATATATATAGGAAATTTTCAAAGATTTAAGAGAGAATCTAGCTAACGATATCGTATTCAGCATCCTAATATGACAATCTCACACTAATTTAAACTATAATATGTATAATTGTTATAATTATGTTACCTATGCAATGAGTGCTTTTCAAGGCACATTTACCTAAGGCAGGCTTTATGCATTGTAAAAGACAGACATAACATATTCGTCTGTGAAAAACATCGTTATAGTTTCAGGAGTTGTGAAAACCACATAAGTTATTGGTGAGTAGCAATATCTCCAGCAGCAGGCGAGATAACTTTTTAATATGTAACCATCAGCAGTTGTTGCATAATATATCTTTAATAGCAGTCCAATATAGTTTGTTGCAAAACTAATAGCTTGCTCATGGATATGGCTGCAGTTCATCTGTCTTTCTCAGTTTGACAGGGTGATTTTCACCATTCGATCTCAAGTCAACAAGTACAGAGATTTTGCTGTTATGGGCCTAATTACTTTCTTTACTTTTCTGATGGGATTTTCCAAAATCTAGAGTGGATTGTGTTTACTAGATTCCCAACCTAGTTTCCATGAGACGAAAGGGAGAGAAGAGAGCATGGGATCCACTCCCAACATCCACCTTTAATTTAAGATGGTTAAGGAATTTATTGTAGCAACCCAACTTGCTGCAGTGTATACCTGTGCCACTGCCTGTCATCAGTTGAGCATGTCATTTTGGACAACATTCCTGGTAGTTTCCATCGTTAAGTTATAAAACCATTGAAACTTGATGCCACAGTTTTTGAACTTGTGGCGCCTTTTCATCCTGTTGTTTGCACTTGCATCTGTGCCATCAGTACTTGAAAGCTGGGTTCTCCATCTTTCAAACAATTAAGATCCTGGATGGGACTAACTGTTTCTTTTTTATTTTCTAATAACTATAAGTTGCAAAGAAATAGAAAAATCTTGCCATAAGGGCTACATGGCAAATGTGGGAGTTGCATTCTAGAACATATGCCACTTTTCTGAGGCATTTGTCTTCATGCTTTGGGATCTTCAGTTTTGGAATAGAGGAATAAATGCCAACGCAAAGCTCTATGTTTGTAGGCTCTGAAGTGAGGCAAAGATGGCTTGTTAAAAAGCAACTTCACTTAAAAGTTGGAAAGAAGCTCCAAAACATGAATGCCCCCCCAGCTGAAAATCAAGAGAACAAGAATAAAACTTGAACTAATGAATAAAGGTAATTGATTAGACAAGGGTGGTCAGTTATATGTGGTCTATTACCCCTCTTTTGGGTCCAATTGCCCAGACAAATTCAAATTCTCCTTTTATGTTTGCGGGATGTTGTGCATTTCAGTGACACAAACTATTAAGGACCACTGTGCTAAATTTACTGGAGAGAAATTCATTACTTACAAGGCATATAGAAAAAGAATATAGCCAGGTTGAAATTTATATGCAATATTTAGGAGAAATTACACAATTAAAAGAAAATGTATGTTAAACAGAGAACCTTTTAGCTAGCTTCTTCCATAATCAACCTTGGTTTACCCCATGCCCTGCCGCGTAGGCAGAGGCTTTAATGCATGTGCAGAAGAGCAATTGTGAGTTTTCTTATTGGAAATCAAGATCTTTCACCTTAATGTCAGCTTGTAAGAGTCTTGCTGACATGGGGGTGGCTGATTTTGGAAGATGGTGTAGGTGTGAAGGCTTTGACTTCTCATCACTTCTGTATGCAGTTTCAGCAACCATAACTGCTTTGTGACTCTTGCACCCCAATATCCCACCTGTTCGGCTTTTTTGTGCCTCTTTCTCTGGTAAAACTTTGGCGTTGGCCACTCTACTGGCTGTTTTTGATCCCGGAGCTCTACTATTTTCTGCTGGTTTCTTTTCACCGTAATCTGAAACAAATGAGCAGTCAGCCGCACTGGCTGTGACAACGCTCCATTCAATGCTGGACTCGCTTGGTGCGTATGGGGTCATGCAGCTAGACATGCCATCAGATACTTGCCTTGTGAACAAGGCCTGACCACTGCCGGATATGTTATCTATCTCAAAGAGATCTGAGCTAGCATCGCTCTCAATATCATCGCATCCCTGGCTGCTTCTGGAAATAGATGAAATGGTTGGGGCATTTGGAATGGCATCCCAAGTTAACATGGACAGTTTCCTCTCAAGGTTCTTGGCTATGTCTCCCTTCTTCACTGCACTGGAGCCAAACACTTCCAAGGACTTCCTTGGATCATCCAATTGTGTTTTAACTGTCACATTGTGAAGCCCAGGTTTCAGAACTGGCGGTCCAAAGTACACTTCTCTGTTTGATCCCACGCTCATTTTATCAAAACTCTGGCTGTCAAACTCATCTTTCACCTGAAATTTTGCTTGAGGCAGCTTCCTTCTATCCATATTGATATACCTGTGATTGATTTGAATGGGTTCTTCTCTTTTCTCTTTTCCATGAACCCTTCCATGATCAAGATTTTGATTGACATAAACAGATTTCCCATCTGAACAAGACCCGGTGCAGCTAAGATTAGAGAA